TTACCGACCACCATGTCACTACTATCATCATCACTACCCCACCCCTGCCGCTACCCCACTCACCCACTCCCGCCACCCTACCCAACCCCTTACCCCACCTGCCCCCACTCATGTCCTTACTATACCACATCCCTTACCCACCCCCTTTGCACCCACATGGATGAGTAGAGGGGGGGGGAAGTTGTCACAATGATAGTAGTGGCATGGTGGTCAATGGAATAGGGGTGGAGTGGGGAGGGTTTGGCTGGGTTGGTAGCTATGATGAGGATAGTCTTGTTTGGTGATCGAGGGTGTTAGGATCCAAGCGCTTACCACTACGCCAAAAGCAATTGCTGATGGACAAGCCGCAACTTATTTCCTTATAGCGTAGCAGTCAGCGCCACGTTTCGATTTAAGAAGATGTTGGTCAATGACCGAACAATCCCCCTCCCCCAACAACTACTAGCACTAACAAGATCTTCGTTAGAAGTCAATGACTGCACAACATGCCTTTAACATTATTATGTACCCCATAGATTTCGAACCCGTGACCTGCTCTAATAACATATTTTAGGATCCAAGCGCTTACTAGTACGCTAAAAGCAATTGCTGGTGGATAAGGCACAACTTATTTCCTTATAGTATAGCAGTCAGCGTCACATTTCAATTTATGAAGATGTTGGTCAATGACCCAATACAGGGTGGTGGGGTTAAGGGTTGTAGTTGTGATGACGATGGTAACGGCATGGTGGTTAGTGGAGGTGGGTAGCGGGGTGGTAGGTATGACGACGCCGGTGGTCGGATGGTGGTCGGATGGCTGGGGGTGGGTTGTAGGGTGGGGTGAGTGTGTATGACAACAACCGTAGTGGCATGGTGGTTAGTGGTGGGTTAGGGTGGGGGCGGGTGGTGGTTGTGACAGTAATAGTGTGGTGGTAGGGGGTTAGAGGTAGGGCGTGATGGTAACAGTAGTAGCATGGTCATGGTGAGGACAAGGGATAGGTGGTGATAGAATTTTATTCTTTCACTTATGCCAAGGAATGATCAATGCTTTTATTTGTGGAATTCAAAAGATTCCATTCATTTCAATATGTGAACCAAACAAAGGAATCGAAATTGGTCAAAGGAATTGATCATTCTAATTTCTTTGAATTCGACGAACCAAACAACACCTTAGGATCATATCACGCACCAAAGACATGGAGCTAGATATTCACTGAACAAGTAGCCCGAGGTCATGTTCGTGTTCTTCATTTTTTCTCATGCCACTTGTTTTCCAAAGTGTTCATTAGGGTCTTCAACTTCCACATATCCTCTTTGAAGACTTCCATTCCAATCTTAGCATTCGTGCTTCAACTGTGGGGAATAATAGCCGACAGTTTTGCATGGCACATGCATGCTCGACATATTATAGATAAATATGAAAGAGTTAGTTACTTGTACGGTGCTTATCCCCTTTCCTAAGTTATCTCTTGAAATTGTACTACATATAGGGGAGGATTATTGTTTAAATCAAGGAATTGAATACCAAATATTAGATATTTGAAAAATCTTTGGTGTTGTAATGCGAGGCATTATCTAGATTGGATCGAGGTCGATTGCACCATTGAATTCTCGATTGTTGTTAAAATTAGTTATATTCTCCAATTTTAACTAGTGTCATGAAGGAAATGGAGGATCGAATATTTGAAGAGACAAAATAGTTTGATTTTTTTCTTAAAGCTTGGTAATTTTTCTTTTGCTTTTTTGGTTTTGGCAATCTTTCTCCACTTACCATTTTCTTCAACTAGACTCCTATTCATACTACTAAAAGAGACATATGAAACATCCTTATTAAATATTATATGAGTAGACCTATTAAAATTTATTTAAATCTGAACTCTTCAATTAATCTAGAAAACCAAAAGGCTTTTGACATTATTTTGATATAAATTCAATTTATTCCAACAATGCCTCCCGTAAATTGAATTTATTCTTGACTCCCAACGTAGCTTTCTTTTCTTTCGAAAATTCAATATTGCTTTGACTTTGTGTCCCACTTGGTTGATTATGATCATCTCCAACCTCATGACCATCATCCACTTTTGCGGTTTCTTTATTTTAGACAGGTAGTTGATTTCATTAGGGAATTGAAAAAAAAGCGTCAAATGATTCGGACAGYTGTCGCGCTGGCGGAGCAGGGAGCCTACAGGGAAGATTGGGGCAATAAGGAGTTCTTTTCATTCTCTTCAACTTGTTCTTCATTTTTCTTGCAATTCTTTTTCCTTTTCTGGTCTACTTGTGCAACATCCAAATTATCTTTTCAAACTTCTTGTTTTGTGCACCAAAGGCAATGATGGATCTTGAGGATATTTATCTCCTCGATCTATAGGTTGCATTTCGTGATAAGCACGAACACTGTTTATCACATCAACTTAAGAGGAAACAAATTGTTTTCACCCAAATTGATCTTTGCAACATTTTAATTTTTCTTATTCATAAAGATTATCAGCAAAGCTAACATTAAAACTTTTCTTCATTTGATGCCATTTGGTTTACAAGATTGTAAATATTCTGAAATTTTTTCATCTCTCATTTCCAACTTCTCAAATTCCACTAGTGATGATTGGAAACAAACTTCTTGACCGAAGTAAGTCCTTTCTAGAACTTGTTGTGCTTCTTGAGCACTGTTTGCCTTGGAAATCCTTTCATACACCGGGGTCTCCATTGTTTGGTAGATTTGAAAAAGAGTTTTCCTATTTGTTGTCTTCTACTCTTTAGAATAACTTTATGTGCCTGGTCAATCGGATTCATCTTCGAGAGGATTTACACCTTCTTCAACGACATTCCATATGTCTTGAGATTCAAGACACAACTTCATTATATTGTCCCAATAATCGAACTTCTCTCCGTTGAAACCAAGGCATAGTTAAAAGAGTAGCGTTGTTCATCTTAAACCTTTTTTTAACAAAATAGCTTTGATACCAATTTGTAGAATCGAATATTTGAGGAGACAAAATAGTTCTATTTTTGCTTAGAGCTTGGTAATTTGCCTTTTGCTTTTTGGCTTTGGCAATCTTTCTCCACTTACGATTTTCTTCAACTGTTTATACTACTAAAATAGACATATGAAAGGTCCCTATTAAATACTAATTAAGTAGACCTATTGAGATGTATTTAAATCTACACTCTTCAACTAATCTAGTAAACCGATAGGCTTTCGACATTATTTTGATATAAATTCAATTTACTCCGGCTTATCAAATTATCTATCGAGCCGTGAAAAAGATTCAACAAAAGACATAAACAAATCCACTATCTGTTTTACGTCAAGCAATACATGGAGTAACTCCGGGTATAGCAGTAAAAGCAAGACGTGTAGGTGGATCGACTCATCAAGTTCCCATTGAAATAGGATCCACACGGAAAAGAGCACCTTACAACACATTTAAATTGTGTTCTTGAGGGACATTCTACATCATACCATATAAAAAAATATCTACCAAGGAGAGAACAATACAGAGAAAATACCTTGTATTATGATTTGATGATCACAAAATGAACACATGACTTGCTATTTTGTAGGCTACAAAATGGGTTCTTTATCTTCCTATTGACCTTTAATTCTGTAGTTATTTGGAGGCTTTTTATGAGAAACAAATCAGAGACTTAAAAAAGGGCTCCAAATATTATCTATGCTGGAAATTGAGGTACTTGATGGCATATACAAAACCAAAGAAAAATAGAAGGATCCAACCAACATGTACCATTGCCACCACCGGTAGGAAGTCATACTCGTACCCAAATCTCTCTTCGATGAATCCTTTCACCGTCATGTTACCAGCTCCAGGCACCTCAAATGGGTGATCGTCCTCACCGATTTGGCCCGTTATCAAACCATAGATTGTCCAGCTGAGAGGGTTTGCCCAGTAATACCACCTGCACCATATTGGAATCATCTGCAATATCCACGTCATCAAATGTTATAAGATCAGCAATGTTACGGTCAAAATGAGTATAAACTAGGAATATTTTTAACTATGTTGTATCTCTGAGAGAGAAAAATCTTTGTTGCACTAAATAGAAACTAAACCAAACTTTGATGCATTTTGCGCAATTTTACAGCGAGTCTTGAAGAAAGAAGGGCACAACGAATGACATACCGGCCTTGGGATGATGAAACCAGAAAACAAGTTCCACAAGCAGGTGAAGAAGTACAACAGAACAGCAGAAATTTGGGGGGTTGGTGTCAATGCCATGGTCATCATGCCAAACAAAGTAAAGCAGATGAAACTCATAAACAAGTAGTAGTAGAACCACAAAAACTTGGAAGCAGTCCACTCGAATCCCATCATCGGGTACAAAAACAAGGCATAAATAGTAGTCTGGATCGCGATATATACAGACTCTATGGTCACCTGCAAAATGTCATTCATTCGAGTTATAATTTCTCATTTATTTTATAACTGTGAATGTCTGCCCAGCTTGCGCACACCTCTATTAATTCCAAGGCCCTCGCATCACTAAAAAAAAATCAGGTTTTACAGGACGCCAAAAATGACTAGGTTTCCTAATAGACTGCTTCGTAGGACAGCTTATGGAACCAAACAATAAAGCATCCTATCTAAAAATGTTACAATAAGTTTAAAGAATATGTTTAGGCTTTAGAATATTTCTAAGAAGTAAGTGTCATGTTAGTTATTTTATGCGACAATTGTGAGAAGTGATCTTTTTTTATAAGCCACTTTTTCAATAGAGTCCTGTAAAATAACTAATAGAACATTTTATTTTAAAATTTTTATTTAGAAACTTGTTAAGACGTGCAAAAGCGTTATATAAACTTATTGTAACACTTTTAGATAGAACGTTTTATTCTTTGGTCCTATAAACGTTAGTCTTATGAAGCAGTTTATTAAGGCACTTGGTCATTTTTGGCATCTTATAAACCCGATTCTGCTGTAGTGAGCTAACGGCCAGGAAAACCTCAAGCGGCATTAGGGGACTTGAAATGGTGACCAATGAGCTAACCCAATTGTTGTTATTTCTTGTTAACAACTTGAAACTTGAGTTTTCTGGTTCATTCATTACCTGGGCAAGTGCATAAGGTAAAGACGAGTACATCCCAGCAGCTCTTTCGCGATAGAAAACTGTTCTCTCGACTGCAACAATTGGTTGCACGGCATTTTCATTGATTGCTCCAAGGAAGAGAACGACGGCATACAAAGCTCCCGATAAATCTAGAAGATCTTGTAGCTTTAATCTGTATACACAAACTCACAGTTAAGTAGTTGCTACATAATGCCATATCAGGATGACTTTGGGGATCCTCAGCATTGTGAAGGGGCAACTTAACTACATGACCTCTCATAAAAGTCAATTTTACAATCTAACCCTCTAATGTATTTTCAAGTTTGTTTCCTTGACTTGAATATGTGACCTTCTGGTCACCAACGAGTAACTATGCTTTGCTCCAAGGGTCAAATTTTCAAACAAACCAAAAGCAAATGAACGAAAATATGTCTGTTGCTAGAAGTAGAAGCAAAAAAGATCAGATTGACAAGTGAAAGAGGGTCTTACATCTTCTCGCCCTTATTGAAGAAAATAGCACTGAATAGAGCAGCAATGACGATGGTGGTGATGAACCGAGTAACGTTATATTGTGGGTTCCTCCAGTACGACCAATGTTGTTTCCACAAACAAGCTTTGCACTGTATGATAAACGGTTGCGTGTATTTCGTCCGAAAAAAGAGATCCTCGGAACCTCTTTGGGGGGCACTAAGCTCCCTAATTAGTTCCTGATTGTCCCTGAAAATGCCACAGAACATCCATGAATACATATTATATATAGAGGTCGGTTCAAATAAGAAGGCTAAATATCGTGAGAAAGTAAGAAGGGAATGTTAAGCGAAGGTTTATATGTGAATCCACTGAAAAATCCAAAAAAACCCTATATCAAGATGCATATACGAACTGACATTGCAGATTATTCATATGGGTTCGCATATGCATTTCCAAATGGATTTTTTCAATGTTTCATATATGAACCTTCCCTTCTTGCCTTCTCAAGCTATTTAGTCTTCTTATTTGAACCTCCATATATATATATATATATATATATATATATATATATATATAAGGCTCATCAAATGCCACCCTCTTAAACATTGCAAACAATGCAACTTCATCTACACCACACAATTAAACAATGAACGGTTGGGGATAAGGCGGT